GAGCAGTGGTGAGCGGGGGGTGTCTCCCAGCGTGGCAGCTCTCCCTGGGGATCTGGCCACAGAAGGCAGACTCCAGGCAGGGGCTGGGGTCTCCTTTCCAGCCTCTGCCAGCCACCCAACCAGCGTCCCTCCAGCTCCCACCACTGCTGGGCGTGGGCAGTTTCCGTCCCTCACACTGGGTCTTGACATAGGCAGAGGCAATGCTGGGCCAGGCAAAACCACGTTGTCCCCAGCTCCAGGGGTCCCTGCTGTAACAGAGACAAGCAAACCACCATCACACAGCAACACGACTCCTGAGCAGGCTGCGGAAGTGGCAAGAGTGGCTCAGGGCAGCATCCCTGGAGAGCCAGTCCAGGGAACAACTGCCCCCATGCAAGACGGGACTCCAGCCAAGCCACACGTGGATGTAGCCAGTGCAATGATAGGTGCCACCCCAGCATCAGGTGGACATCTGTCCTCTCCAGTGGCACATGTCTTGGCTGACCAACCCGTGCTTCGGACAGAAGTATCTCCCTCAGTCACTGTCAAATTGACTGAGGCCAACAAGTCAGTGCAGCTGGGCAAAGCAGTCACTACAGAGAGGATGCCAAGGACAGAATGGATCACAGTGCCACCACTCCCCCTGGACAAGCACAGGACAGGGACATCACCCCCCAGTATCAGCAAGAGCTCTGCTGAGCCAGATGCAGATGCCATGCTCCCATCCCAAGAGGACACACCACAGCTGGAGAAGGCCACCTCAGGTCCAGCCACAGCAGCCACCATCTCTCAGGACATGGGCAGCACTGTGAAGCCAGCAGCAGCCTCAGCCAGCCCTGCCAATGGCCTCCCCAGGGGTCCCCCCCAGGCAGCCACAGAGGGGGCCAGGATGGTGCCCCCACCACCTGCAGATCCCCCAAGCACATCCTCAGCAAAGGTCACGTTTTCTTCTGCCACCATTGGCATCAGCAGGGCTACAGAGCCAGGGACACGTGCCTTGTCCAAAGCCAACCACAACGCCTCACAGGATCCCCCTGTGCCTCCTGCTCAGCTGCCTCCAGCCCTTTCTCCCTGGCTCCCTGGTGGTGCCTTGCTGGACACAGAAGAGCCACTTGCCCCCAGTGACAGCACAGCCCCTGGCCCTGCTGGAGATGGGCAGCCTGGAGCCAACGCTGTCACCCACCCCCAGGCCACTGCACTAGCTCCGGGCACACCAGCTGTGGCAATGGAAGTCACTGCTGCAGAACACATCCCCACTGCGTCATTCCCAGCTCTGGGAAGTGCCAGCACTGACCTGGTGTCCATCAGGAGCAAGCCAAGTGCCAGAGCCATGGCAGGCACCACTTCTCCAGAGACCAAGGCCATCCCAGTGGGGCTCAACAAGGGGCTGTCCTCTCCCACAGCTCCCAATGGCTCTGGTGGTCCCTCTCCAGGGCTCTTCATCTACTCCACGGGATCTCTGCTTGCCCAGACTCCCTCAGCAGACCCTGGGGCCAGCACAGCAGAGGCAGCTGCAGATGGATTCCCTCCAGCCAGACCCAGCATGGCCACATCCTTGTCCCACACAGATGCTGGTGGAGCAAAGCCAGATGGGGCCCCTCGAGCTGCTGCTGCACCAATACCTTCCACCAGCCAGCCATCCTCCCTCGTTAGCACCACTCCAATTAGTGAAGCAATGAGAGGAACAGCATCGCTGGCCAGTGGCAATGTCACCACAACAGTGAGGAACACCAGAACCACCCCAGCTGTGCCTGATGCATCTTCTGGCCGCAGCCAGCCTGGTCCCACTGCAGCCTCAGCACTCCCAGGAACTCGTGTCACCCCTGGACCTGCACCAGCCCCACTGCTCCAGGCTGGCCCCCAACATGGGGCAGCTCCAGGGACAGAGACGTGGTCATCCAGTGCTGCACCAGGTGTGGTCACAGCTGTGCCGGGTACCCTGCAGGTGCCCAGAGCAGCCACTGACACTGTGGCATCACGAGCAGGTGTCCCACCTCTCCTGGAAGGCCATCCCACTGCAGGAATGGTTTTGGGGGGGTCCCCATCCAGTGTCCCACCAGGGATGGCAGCAGGCATATCCCCACTGTCCTTGGCTACCCCACTGCCAGTGGTGGGTGCTTCAGGTGACCCTGATGGCAGCACCACAGGGCAAGTGGCAGGCATGGTATTCTCAGAGGTGAGCATGGAGGAGGACGTGAATGCCAGTTCAGCTCCTGACCTGGGGAGTGGTGCAGTGGGGCCAGGTCCCAGCCGTGTGATTGTCACCACTGGGCCATCACCAGAGCCTCCCACCCAAGGTACTTCCCAAACCAGGCACTTGGTGGATCTGCCTATCCTGGCTCCCAGGGACAGTAACTTGGCTCCATCAGCCATGTCTGACCTCAGACCAGGGCTGGACATGGTCAGCCCCCTCCCAGACACTGCCAGCAAGACACCCCAGCCCGTGACACTGCTGGTCCCCAAAAATGAAGTTACAGGGGCAGGTGAGGGCAGGTCCCCCCTGGCAGGAGATGGCAGAACCATGCAGGCAGCTCCAGGCTCAACTCCAGCTGAAATCAGAGGGGCAGGTGCCATGATAGGTGCTCTGAGGACATCCCCAATGGTGTCACCTCCTGTCACAGCCAGCATCACTGCTTGGCCAAGCACAGCTGCATTGGAACACAGCGATCACACTGGTGAGCCCACCATGGACATGGCTACTGACACAGCTTCTTCCACCATGGGGAATGGCACTTCAGAGCTGTCCCTGAGGCTGCCCACTGCTATGTCTGGGATGGCTGAGCCAGGCGCTGGTGAAGTCCCCCTGTCAGGACACTCTGTCCTAGGCAACAAAAGCCCTGTGCCAGCAGTGGTGGTAGGCACGGTGTCACCCACAGCTCTGGAGATGGTTACAGCAACTTCTCCTGGCCTTGCTCACAGCAACACTGAGCCAGATGTCAGTGAGTTCCCTCCTGTCCTTGAGAAGACCCTTCCAGCAGTGGTGGCATCTTTCTTCACCCCCAGGATCACTGTCACTGGTCCAGCAGTGGGGGCAGGCAATGACAGTATCGATAGGATCACAACTTCTGCTTCTTCTGTCCCCAGCAGTGCTTCCACACCAAGCAGCCCCCGTGTCACTCCGAGAGTGTCCTCTGAAGCCACCAATAGCACCCATGGCCCAGCTACAGGGGCTGTCAGCCCAGGCCCTGAGGATGAGCCCATAGATGAGGTGTCAGTGACTGTTGGCCACACACAGGCATGGGAGACCACAGCCATGTCCTGGTCAGGTGCTGGTGATACCACCACACAGTGGGACACCACCCTCCCTGAGAGCAGTGCCAAGGAGGCAGCACCTGCAGCCAGCACCATCAGCACCCGTGTGCCTGTCTCCAGTGCTGCTGGCACAAGCCTGGCCACCGTACCAGCCACCAGGATGTCCTCTGGCAGTAGGGTCCTGCCAGACACCTCAGCCAGTGGGGAGACCTTTGTGGTGACTGAGGCCACCACAGCTGTGCTGACTGCCACAACGAAAGCCACCAGCAGTGTCCTGTCCCCTGCTGTCAGACACAACGAGGCAGGAGGAGGCAGTGACCTTGTCCTATCCCCAGCAGCACCTACTCCCACTGCAGAGACAAACACTGGGTCCTGGCGTGTTCTTGGTCCCAGCTCTGCCATGGTGGTGCCCAGCTCAACCCAGCCCAGCCCACGGGGCCAGGTGGAGGAACCAGCAACAGCCCCCTCAGCCACCCTCAGTGCTGGTGCTGCAGGGGGGGCAGGAACTGGATGGGCCCCCTCTCAACCAGCAACAAGGGACACTGTTCCCACTGCTGTCACCAGCCATGCCCTGGGACAGGCAGTGACCATGTCATCTCCCAGCACCCCGACCTTCCTGGGTGAACCTGCCTGGGGGAAGAGCACAGCTACCACTGCAGGAAGCACCGTAGCCATCCCTGCAGGCACCACCACTGGCAGCACTGCAGGCAGCACCGTGTCTATCACTGCAGGCAGCACTGCATCTGTCACTGCAGGCAGCACCACTGGCATCCCTTCAGGCAGCACCACTGGCATCCCTGCAGGCAGCAGGGTGCCTGGTGCACCCACAGCCCCAGGGAGCCCAGCCAAGGAGACAGCAGGTCTCCCAGCCCCAGACACCACGGCACCAGAGAGTCCACCAGCCACCACCAGCTCTGCCACCACCCCTGCTTCTGCCTTTGAGACTGGGAGGGGACTGGTCACAGCACCAAGAGCAACCATCCACACCACCAGCAGCCACAGAAATCCTGCCCCTGAGCCTCTACCCACCCACAGGCTCATCAGTAAGTAGATTTTCTTCTTCCCAAAGCAAGCCAGAAGGGGCTGCTAGCCGACCCAGCAACCCCATGGCTGATGGTGTGGCTTGGGACAGGGTGACTTTTCTGCACCACATGTTGGGCTGCTGGATTCATGGGGAAAGGTGAAATCTGCTATTGGAGAACGTAATATTCTGAGTTGAAAACTGGGCTAAAAGTTGGGTTACGTGGCACCAGAGTGCTGGTCTGGCTGGGGGCAGCTTAGACCCAGCATCCTGGTGGTGAGGCAGTAAGTCTGCTCTGGCCACCAGAAGGATGGAGCTGGTGTTAATGTTTTTTCACCTTTTTGATTATTCTCCTGCCCGTGTCAGTGCCAGCAGCCTCACTCTACCCTTTTGGCATGGAGGGAGGGGACCAAGAGTACATCCAGAGGATGGTGGATTTTAACTCCCCCCTGTTCAAGCCAGAGATCGGGTTTCCCTTTGGGAAGAAACTGCGGGATGTTCTCTACGTGAGTTACCCCCTCCCTGAGCACGTAAGGGATGAACAACCTCTTTGGTAGGAAAAAAAAAAAAAAAAATCAACATGGAAGTGGAACAGAAACCGAATTTCATCTGAATGTTAATGTTTTTGCAAATTAAGATAGCAGGTTTCTGCTCGCCCGTGGAGGCTACAAGCCACACAGGCTGGGCAGGAGCTGCCTGCGGTGTTGGCAATTAACAAGTTGTTTTGGTTAGTTTACAGATAACGGACAGATCATCTTCCCACCCACTGATAACTACGTCCTCTCCAACCCCAACCCACCTCCCCGGGGCTTCAATGGCCGGGAGGGTTTGCCAGTGGTGGCTGCCTTCTGGGATGACGCAGATTTCTCCCAGGGTGTTGGCACCACCTGGTACCAGGTCAGGTTCACCAAAGTTGTTCTCCTGGGAGATGTCGGCTTCCAGCTCTCCCATTAAACCCTCTCTCTTGCCAACTGGCAGGAGTACTCCACCCTCAGCTCTACCCAAGATCCCTTTGTCCACGATGTGGAAGCAAAGATTGAGAAATACCTGAAAACCCCTTACCAAGCAAAATGGACCTTGAAGGTGACATGGGAGAAGGCTCCAGCATACCCATCCCGGCGAGATGACACTCAGGTGAGTAGTGGGGGACCCAGGTGATGGAGAGGACTGTCACCAGTTCCTGACAACATGCTACTGCTCTCCTGCAGCTTGATGCAAGCATTTCCAGTCTTACCACCTCAGGCTGCAATGTGGGGAGAGCAGGGAGGGTTTTGGGGGTGCTAAGTGAATGCCTTGTGTTTCTCCAGACAAACACCTACCAAGCGGTCCTGACCACCGATGGGAACCGCTCCTTTGCCCTGCTGCTCTACCAGGATGGTGGGATGCAGTGGGACTACACCAAGCTGGCTGCAGACAACGTGCTGATCGGTTTCTCCAGGTGCTGTGCACGTGTGGCTGCATTTTGGGACAGCAGGGATTTCTTCCAGCACTCTGTCAGGGCCATTGGAGGACAGCCCAGCTTCCAATCCCAGAGCAACCCTCTCCCATTTAAACCCTCTCTCCTGCAAACAGTAGCAGTTCCCACCCCAACTCCTCTGTGAGGAGTGGAGGAGGGTTGCATTGGAATGCTGACCCCAAACCTCTTCTCCCCACACAGTGGTGATGGTTATGCCCAGAATAATGAGCTGACTCAAAAGCCACCAGCTGTCAAGTACCGACCCGACCAGCACAGCAGCACTGGCACCGGTATGACCCTGGGGAGCCCTCAGGATTGGTGGGTGAGGAGGGAGCCATGAGAGTCTCCATCCTCTTGGTGGAGGACACCAAGAGCAAAGCACGGGTGTCCCATGTCCTGCTGTGGCTTGCCATGGCCACGTCAGCTCTAGAGGGAGCCTGGAGACCTTGTCTCAGGTCAATGGCCAGGGACAGCTGTCCCATGGGATCCCCGTTGGTGTGAGGTGAGACCCCGGCGGAGCTGTGCTGATCCTTGGTCGCCCCCACAGGTGTGCGTGGGCTGTGGATATACAGGCTGGACACCCGCTCCCGGGTGAACTACAGGCTGCGGTGCCTGGCGTGGCTGGACATGGAGCCAGCTCCAGCCACCTGGAACACCGAGCTGCTGCCTTGTCCCTGCTCCTGGCCACAGGCACAGCTGGACCCGCGCTACCGCCAGAGCAGAGGTGCTGAGCGCGGCCACCCAGGGCCAGATGTGGGGTGAGGGAACAGAAGAGGGTCCTCTCCTGCTCAGGGGCAGCCCTGATCCCCTCCTACCCTTTCAGGCCCAGTGGACACCTCCATGAGGATGCTGCGTACTGTGTCCCCAAACCCAGCTGGAGCTGGGGTGCGGTGTCTTTACCAAGACGGGAGCTTGCTAGAAGGCTGGCAGGAGAGAGCGTGGAGCCTGCCCACCCACCTGGGGGCTGGTAAGTGGGCACCAGTTCTCCCTCACTCTAAATCACCCTGAACACCAAGCACTCTGCAGGCACAGTGGGGACCCCCCAGCACCCACTGCCTTCCCCACAGATGAGGAGCTGAGGGCCTTCAACTGGTGCTGCCGGCGCGTGGGGAAGCCCCTGTTCTGCACCAGGTTTGCTGAGAAGAGACCCCAGGTTGGCTGCAAGGGATACGTGCCACCCACTCCTGGTGAGTCCCCAGGGCTTGACCTCCTCCACGCCAGTGTCCTGGGTGGGTGGCACAGGTGTATGGGGAGCCCACACATTAACCACACTCTGCAGCATCCCAGTGGGGGCTGCTGAGCCCAGAGCAGCACTGGGGGCTGCTCTCCGTGCAGTGACACCAGCATTTGCTTTTCTTCCTCCTATCAAAATGGCTCCATCTCCTTTGGACTCCAGCTGGTGCCTTTGGGGATCCCCACATCACCACCCTGGATGGACTCACCTACACCTTCAATGGGCTTGGGGACTTTGTCCTGCTGCTGGCCAGTGATGCCCAGACCAGCTTCGTGCTGCAAGGACGCACAGCCCGGACTGGCACAGCCCAGGCCACCAACTTCGTGGCCTTTGCTGCCCAGTATATCTCCACCACCACCACAACAGTGAGTAGGAGTGACCCAGGTACTGGCTTGAGCATCTAACTGGGACAAGACCCCCATGGCAGGTTGGGCATTGCCTCTCTACTTACAAGTGGCCAAGACTCAAGAAGCATCCCCTCTCCTCTCCTTGCCACCTCTCATGACCTCAACAAAGTGCCAACAGTGGTGGGTTGAACTAAGACTAACGAACCACAGCTCTAACATCTCTTGCAAGCTGACCAGAGAGGGCCTGGAGCTCTGCAGGAACATGCTCTGCTCCACCCTCTTCGTTGCACACCCTTCGCCTCGACCACCAGTCTCCTCTGGACACGTTAGCACAAGCGTGTACCCTTCCTTGCTTTGCTGAGTTGTTCCCCACACCCATTTCAGTAGGTAAAACCTCCCAGAGTCACCAGAAGCAGCCCCTGAGCAGTGGGGGGCGAGGAGGATCAGAACCTGGAGCCCACCAGCACGGCTCTCTGCACTGCCATGCTCAGCCAAGCAGTGGTGGTGGCCTCTGCATGCACCATGCTAGCAGTGGTGGGGGAGCAGCTTGCTGTCCTCTTCTGTGCAGCCATCAAATCTGGTTGATCATGTGTTTGCAGGGATGAAGAGCATGTGAGCACGGCCCCTGAGGCTGAGCCTCTGCCAGAGATGAAGGAGGATAGGGTTTATCTCACATGTCCAAGGGGGGACAGTAGGGAGGGAAAAGCAGAGGAGCTGACTGGGATATCTTCAATTATTTGCAGGTTGAGTGGACCTTGGGGAGACATGGTGACATCCAGGTCCTTCTGAACAATGAAACCATTCAGTTTTTCTATTCCCAAGGTGAGCAGACTGTGCTATTAAATGTATCTGGCGGGGATGAGTGTTGTCCTGCCTGGCATGAGGGCAGCCATCCCGAGCTCCATCCAATGCCTCCCACCCGTACCATCTCTGACTTGGTCAGGGTGCATGGGGATCATCCCTCACCCCAAAATTCAGGGGCACCGTTTCAGACCTTGTCCTCCTGTGGACTCTCCCTCTGTGTTCTCCTTCTCCTGCAGACATGGCTGCCGAGATGCACTACAGCCCTGGTGTCCTGCTGGTCAATGACTCCTCTATCATGGCCGTCTTTGATGGCTCCATTGCTGTTTCCATCTCTGCAACCTCTGGGATCCTCAGCGTGGTCTGCAACCTGCCTGATCGGTACCGCAACAGCACCAAGGGCCTCCTGGGTGAGGACTTCTGGCACTACTGCAGAGCCTGAGTGTCAAGTCCCCTTCCTAACCTAAAGCAGGCTGGAAAACCCTTGGAGAATGTGCTTGTGAGGGCAGGGACCCCTGGGTCTAAACTAAACACTGACCAGCACCAGGGAGGAGGTCAACCCTGGCATGGGGTCTCCAGTCCTATGGTGATGCTCCATCAGGTGTGTGGGACCACGACCCTGCAGATGACTTCCAGATGTCAAATGGTACCAGCATCGCTTTGAATAGCAGCGAGGAAGAGATCTATGGCTATGGGATGACCTGTAAGTCTGGTCTTGGGCTTCACTTTGATGATCCCTCAGTTCCTGCACCTTCTGCCCATGCTTTGCCTGGAGACATTTAGACACTTGTCTGAGCAAAAGTGATGCAAGGGAAGTCCTTTTTTCTTCTCACTGTTTGTGTGGAAATGAGCCCTAGGATATAACAAGCCCTAAAAACCCCAGGCTGTACCTGTGGTGTGCTCTCTTGCAGGGGCTGTTGGAGAGCACAGCCTGTTTGCTCAGCCTCCGGACTCACCGGTAATGAACTTCACACCAATCTTCTTGTCTCGGCTGCGGCAGGAGAACGAAAGCCGGTACCAGCTGGCAGCCTCACAGTGCCACGGGAACAAGGAGTGCATCTATGATTCGCTGAGCACAGGGGATGTGGCCCTGGGCCTGGCCACCCAGAGCCTTGCAGCTGACTTGCAGCAGAAGAAAACAGTACTCAGTAAGTGGAGCAGATCCTCACCTCCCAGAGGGCACAGCTTGAGTAACCAGGCAGAGTCCTGCTCCCTCCTTGGGCTCTTTTGCTCCATGTGAGGCAAGAGAGAAGTCACCAGGGTCTCGGCATTGCATTTCCTGGCTGGCTGGTCTCCAAAGCCTCAGAGATGCCGCTATGCTGTGTGCTATGAGGGCTTTGTTGGTGGGCAGTCATGGTGGCATCTTCCTGGGGTCCCATGCTCAACACGAAGGACTCAGAGCCAAGTGGTGCCAAGGCCACACAGCAAACGCCCAGCTGTGTGCTAGTCTGCTCTTTTCTCAGATGCCTTCCCTCCTGTCATCACCGGTGACACCTCACTCACAGCCTTCAGGACAGAGAGGGTCAGGAGGCAGTTCCGTGCCGCGGGGGTGGGCGCGCGTTTCATCCCCCACCTCTCACCAGAGCTCAACATATCTGGTAAGGAAAGAAGGACAGGGCAGCTGGGTCAGGAGGGGGGAACACGGGCCACCTGGCTCCTTTCCTCTGCCACCTTCTCTAACTCCCACCTCTTTCTCCTGGCAGAGAGTGGCACTCTGACATGGGAGCCCCATGGGATGGCCCCACTTACCATCAACCTGGAGGCTGTTGGGTCCAACAACCTCTCCTCCCTCCTCCAGCTCCGCTTCACCCTTTGCAGCTGCAGCAGGAGTCAGGAGTGTGACTACAGTGACACTGTCACCCTCGGGGGGTCCTCCCTACAGGTAGTGTGCTGGAAAGCTCCTCCAGCATCGCACCATGCATAGTTGTCTTCTCTGTCCACACGTACTCCTCGTGTCCCCTAAGCTGGTGTCACCATCCCCTTCCCAGCTGGCAGCCTGCAGGTGTGATGGTGGCTACTCAGGTCCCTTCTGCCAGGACCCTCCGGACCCCTGTGCCCAGGGATGCTTCCCCGGTGTGGGCTGTGACACACGCACAGGCTGTGGCCCCTGCCCGGCTGGCCTGACCGGTGATGGGCAGCACTGCTCAGGTGACAAGGGCTCGCCATGGCCACCAGGAAGCTGGGGCACTAATAGGACCCCAGCTGAAGTATTTCTCCTGGTGTCCTGCTGGTTTCCCTCGGCAGATATCGACGAGTGCACACAGGGGATGATGTGCCCAGGGAACAGCACCTGCACCAACACAGTGGGCAGCTACACCTGCTCCTGCCTGGCCAGCGAGGAGGGTGAGTATGGGCACCCCTGCAGGCATGGAGCCCAGTGGACATGGTCCTCATCCCCTCACCCCTGGGCCTTGGTGGAAAAGGGCTCCTGTGGGACTCAAATTGGCCAGAGAGGAGAGGAGGGGGAGCTGGCTGAGCTCTGTAACCAAGTCCTTGCTGTCCTTAATAGAAGGGACTGGAATCCAGCCACCCCTTGTGCTCTCAGGCTGCAGCTCTCACTAATCCACTGGGAAACTACATTTTTTTCCTGAAACTTTTCTCTTTGAGAAACAAACAAAAAAAAATCACATCCCACTGAAGTTCGAATGTGGAAGTTGGGGGGCTAAAAACCAAATCTGGTTTTCAGGTGGTTTTGGTAGGGTTGGGGTGATGGTTTTCACTCCTGTTCTAATGCAGCAGGCTGGGATTTCAAAGGGCAAAAGGTTCCAGCAGGACTTTTCCTTGAGGATCTGAAATTCATACTAAAAGACCTAAGGGCATATTCAAAAAGACCAAAACCTGGGAGAAAAGCATCACCATCCGTGCAGTGGCTGGTGATGGATCAGTGCTCTGGGGCTCCACCTGACCTAGGCTCCCTGTCCCACAGGTGAGAGGCCAGGCTGTGGCTCAGCCTGCAGCTCCCACTCCTGCCCCGAGGGCTACTGCAGCAACGGGGGACACTGCCATCTGCACCCTGTCACCTGCACCCCCACCTGCGCCTGCCCCCCGGCTTTCACCGACCAGCGTTGCCTGCTGGCAGGGGGGGATTTTCATCCTCTGCCTCGTGCAGGTGGGTGCCTCCCGGGGGGAGATCCCCTGCTTGCCTTGATCCCGGGATGCCAGAGCCACTGCTGTGACTTTTCCCTAGCAGATCTCCCCTGGAGAAGCATCCAGCTGAGGGTCAGGACGCTGCAAAATGCCTCTGTTGGGGAAGTCAATGACACAGTATGTCAGGGGAGGGGACAAGCCTGGGGAGGGGGACACGCTGGCACACCGAGCAGCGTGGCAGCTTGGGGTGCCCATGCCTTTGTATCCTTCCCTCCCAAAGGATCATAGAATCAGTTTTGTTGGAAGGGATCTTTAAGATATCCAGTCCAACCACTAACCCAGGACTGTCAGGTCTGCCACTAAACCATGTCCCTCAGGACCACATCTACATGTCTTTTAAATACCTCCAGGGATGGGGTCTCCATGATTTCCCTGGCAGCCTGTTGCAGGGCCTGACAACTCTTGGTTTTCCTAATATACAATCTAAACCTCCCCTGGTGCAACCTGAGGCCATTTCCTCTTGTTCTGTCTCTTGCATCTTGGGAGAAGAGACCAACACCTACCTGGACCCCCAGGAACCCAGTGGGTCTGCTGAAGGCAGTGGTGGCCACGTGACACCAGCTGTGGCTGTGGCCACGTGCCAGGTCCCTAGCATGTGAACGAAAGGCCAGAGCTGCCCTCAGGGCTTGGTCACAGTGCCCGTGTTGCCCTTCAACTTCTCCCCATGCCAGTGCTGTCCTGCCTGCCCCTGACACCCTCCTGCTCTCCCTGCCATAGGTCTCAGCCATCCTGGGCTCCCTGGAAGTAAAGGCTTTTGAGAGCAACACCAACATCACTCAGATGTGAGTAGGCTGTGGGGTGGCCCCTGCCCACCCTGCAGAGCCTACATGGCAGGGCTGGGCCTGGGGCTACAAGGTTTGAGACAGAGAAGGCATTTTAACCCAAACTCAAGGTCTGTTTTTCCAGTCCTGATACCAGGGACACAAAAGTCTCATGGTACCCTCCATCAGCAATGCCCATGTGCCTCTTCCCTTCCTTATGCCCCTCCAAATGGGGAAACTGAGGCATTATGAGGCTTGGCTGATCTACGATGCAGCAGCAGCTCAGCCAGCAACTCCATTCTTTTTCCACAGGACAGACAGTGATGGCTTCACCTTCACAGTGATGTCTGAGTTTGCCTACGACAGCCGTGGCATCGTCATCTGGTTCCTGAACGAGGAGCTGCTGGGAGCAGTCACTGGTGCCTTCAACGGGCGGCGGGGGCGAAGGGAAGTGGATGGACACCTCCTCTTCCAGCCCCTGCATGAGGACAATGTCACTGACCTGGTGAAGCGTGAGTTACTCCCTGCACTGAGCTGGGGAGCCCGGGAGGAGCACCCCAGTGTCCCCAGGGTCCATCCCCCATCACCCTACGTGCCCTGGGGTGGTGGGTAACAACACCTCAGGGGTGGTGGGTGGGCAGCAATTCCCACCCCGGGCATGGACTCAGCTCAGGAAGAGCTGGTGAAGAATCACAGGGTGACGCTGCTGCTTGGTTGAACCAGTAACATCCCTCCCCAGTGACGGTGGCTGAGCTGAGGAGCTATTTCCCCTGCAGTCTGTATGGCTACAAAGGGTACCGGCTCCACTACACGGAGACCATGGGCTTTGTCTGCATCTCACCTTGCAAGATGGGCTACTGCCAGCATGGTGGCCAGTGCCAGCACCTGCCCGAGGGGCCCACATGCAGGTAGCAGCAGTGCCGGGCACAGACAAGGCCACTGAGCATGGTCACGTCTTCCCACAGCATCCCTGCTCTTCCCTCCCTCCCTCCCTCTCCATCCACAGCTGCCTGCCCTTCTCCATCTTCTCCCCATCCGGCTCTCGCTGTGAGCGGTTGGCCATCAGCCTTGCTGCCTTCCTCGGCATCTTGCTGGGAGCCCTGGCTCTGCTCTGCATCCTGCTCACCGCTGCCTGCCTGGCCTCGCGCCTCTGCCGTGGGCACCGCC